CAGGATTCTTTACTAAAGCAAGTGCTGATTTATTATCAACACATATTTCTATAGGATCTTCTTGTGGCATTTTTAACTCTTTCAACAAGTTCCTTAGCCAAATTGCATGGCAAACACATGATGTAGCGGCAACATATTCGGCTTCATAAGTTGACAGTGTGACGATAGGTTGCTTCTTTGACATCCAAGTGAAAGCAGTATCTCCCATAAAGAACACAAAACCAGTAGTGCTCTTTCTATCGTCCAAGTCTCCACTCTAATCGCTATCACTATAGCCAACAATTTCATAATTGGTAGAAGAATAATAGTGTAAGCCAAAGTTTGTTGTACCTTTGATATATCGAAGGATTCTCTTTGCCGCCTTGAAGTGAGTTGTTGTTGGAGCTTCCATGTAACGACTTACGACTCCTACAACATAGAGAATATCCGGCCTTGTACTTGTCAAGTAACGTAGACTTCCAACCAAACTTTTGTAAAGAGTTGGATCCACAATCTCTCCATTTTCATGCTTACTCAACTTGCTGCCACATTCCATCGGGGTGCTGACCGGATTAGCATCATCCATCTTGAACTTCTTAAGGACTTCTTTTGCATAGCCTTCTTGGGTGATAAAAATTCCTTTATCTTCTTGATTTACTTCAATGCCAAGATAATATGCCATGAGCCCCATATCTGTCATCTCAAATTCATTTGACATGTCTTTCTTGAACTCTTCGAACATGCTTAGACTGTTCCCAGTAAAGATCAAGTCATCAACATATAAGCACACAATCAAAATATTTCCACTTTGCGCTTTAATATAGAGTGTATGCTCATATGGACACTTGATGAAATTCTTGTCTCGAAAGTACTTGTCGATTCAAACATTCCAAGCTCTCGGTGCTTGCTTGAGTCCGTACAACTCCTTTTTCAACTTGAGGACTTTTTCTTCTTGCCCTTTTACTTCATATCCTCGTGGTTGCTCGATATAAACTTCTTCTTCGAGAAAACCATTCAAGAAGGCCGACTTCACATCCATTTGATAGATCTTCCATTCATTCTAGGCTGCTAAAGAAATGATCAGTCTAATAGTTTCAAGACGAGCAACGGGGGCAAATACCTCATCATAGTCAATTCCTTGTCTTTGACTATAGCATTTTGCCACCAGTCTTGCTTTGTATCTCTCCACGTCTCCTTTTGCATTCTTCTTCGCCTTGTACACCCATCTTACTCCGATTGCTTTGTGTCCTCATGGAAGTGTAGTAAGTTCCCACGTGTCATTCTTTGTGATTGACTTTATTTCTTCATCCATGGCGTCTCTCCACTTTACATTTTCAACAGCTTCTTGATAGCTTAGAGGCTCGCAATCACCAAAAAGACAAAAGAGGTTAATGTCATTTTGGTTTTTGGTTACCTCATAAAGCTCTTCAATGCTCCTTAATCGTGGTGTCCTCTCACTTGAGCTTGTTTCATCCAACCTTGGTGTCGGTGAGGCAGGTGGTGTAATATGTTCATCTATCATTGGTTGTTCATTTCATCTTCTTCTTCTTCAAAATAAGGAAGAAAACCATACTTGTCTTCTTGAACACTCCAAGCCCAACAATCTTCTTCTTCGAACTCCACGTCACGACTTATGACAATCTTTCCGCTATTTGGATTATAGAGCTTGTACCTTTTGGAGCTTGAGTCGTAACCTACGAATACATACTTCTCACTTTTATCATCGAGCTTTGTTCTCCTTTCATCTGGAACGTGGGTATATGCAATGCTTCCAAACACCTTGAGGTGAGAGATCCCTGGCTTCCTTCCACTCCATGCTTCTTGTGGTGTCTTCTCATGCACACTTCTTGTTGGGGAACGGTTTGTCAGGTAAACCGCACATGCCACTGCTTCGGCCCAAAACTCTTTCGGCATCTTCTTACTCTTAAGCATGCTTCGCACCATATTAAGTATGGTCTGATTCTTTCTCTCCACTACTCCATTTTGTTGTGGCGATCTTGGCACTGTTAGTAAGTGGCGGATTCCATGCTCTTCACAATATTTGTTGAACTCATTTGAAGTAAACTCTCCTCCTCGGTCAGATCTCATAGCCTTAATAGAAAGACCACTTTCTTTCTCCACAAGGGCTTTGAACTTCTTAAAGTTTTCAAACACTTCTGACTTCTCCTTTAGGAAATAAACCCATGTTTTTCTAGAATAATCATCAATAAATAGGAGAAAGTATTTATTCTTACCAAAAGAGTTTGGATTGATTGGTCCACAGACATCAGTGTGTATGAGCTCTAGTGGTTTTGTCGCTCTTGATGTTGATTCCTTTGGAAAGCTTTTTCGGAATTGCTTCCCAATTAGACATCCTTCACATAGTTGGTCTGGGTGGTTTATACTAGGCAAGCCTCTCACCATCTCCTTCTTTGACAAACATTCTAGACTACCGAAGTTGAGGTGTCCAAATCGTAGATGCCATAGCCACGAAGAGTCGGTATAGCAGGCCTTGAGACACTTTGCCACATCATTTTGAATGTTCAAGAGGAACATTCTATTCTTTGACATAGGCACCTTATAGATCAATTTATGCTCATAATCTCTTAAGAAAAGACTATGTTCTTTCAAGTGGATGTCATATCCTTTCTCCAATAATTGTCCCAAGCTCAAAATATTATTTTTCATGTTAGGAACATAGTAGACGTTGGATATGAATTGATGACTCCCATTCTTTAAGTGTATGAGAATTTTACCTTTGCCTTTGACCGATATCTTTGAGTCATCTCCAAATGAGACATTTCCAGTTGTCGCTTCATTGATCTCTATGAACATGCTTCGATCGCCGCACACGTGGTTGTTTGCGTCGGTGTCGAGGTACCACTTGTTTCTTTTCTCTTCAAATTGGTTTTGGCACGCGAGCAGCAAAGTTTCTTCTTCTCCACCTTTTTCTTCTACAAAGTTAGCTTTCTCCACAACTTTCTTTGAGAATCTACACTCAGATGCATAGTGACCAATTTTATTGCAATTGAAGCACTTGATTTGTAACTTGTTGCACCTTGACCATGAATTTTCATTTCCACGACCTCTTGTTGCTTGTGGATTCCAACTTCTTTCTCCATTGTTGAAGTTGTTGGAGTAGTTGTTGTAACTTCCTCTTCTTTCTCCTTTATATCCTCGTCCACGTCCACGTCCACGGTCTTGGCCACGACCTCGTCCTCTTTGATTCTTGTAACTCACATAGTTTGCTTCCTTTGCATTGAGTTGTAGTAGTTGTTACATAGTCTCCTTTTGTTTAGTTTTTCTCTTTTGTTTTTCTATGCTTGTAAGGAACCCATAAGTTGCTCAATAGTCATGGTGTTTAAATCCTTGTTTTCTTCAATGTTGGTAACAATGAAGTCAAAACTTGGATTTAAAGTGCGAAGTATTTTTTCCATGACTTTCACCTCATCAACATCTTCACCATTTCTTTTAAGTTGATTGACTACGGATAATACTCGAGAAAATTAATCAGAAATTGACTCAGTCTCTTCCATAAATAAATGTTCAAACTCACCTCTAAGAGTTTGAAGACGAATCTTTTTCACCTGTTCCACTCCTTTGTTGCAAGTTTGAAGTTTGTCCCATGCTTCTTTGGCCGTCGTTGCATTGAAGATCTTCTCAAATGTATCTTCATCCACCGATTGATAAATGAGGAAGAGAGCTTTCTTGTCTCTCTTTCTTGACTCTTTTAATGCCTCCTTTACACCTTGGCTTAAGGATGCTTCATCTTGCTCCTTGAAGCCTTTCTCAACAATATCCCACACATCTTGAGCTCCTAGTAGCGCCTTCATCTTGATACTCCAATTGTCATAATTGTTCTTTGTGAGTATCGGCATTTGAAAAGAAAAATCTCCATTCGCCATCTTTTGAGGACCTTCAAGCTCTGATGCCACTTTGTTGGAAATAAGACTTTTTGTGTTTAAAAAGAGTATGTATTAGAGACTTAAAGAGAAAATTAATAGGTAGAAGAATTATTTATGGAAGAGAGAACTTTATATTTTGCTTGATGCAAACGTGTAGAATTACATCTCTATTTATAGTACTCTAAGGAGAACTCTAAACACACTAATTCTATTATATTTTGCTTGATGCAAACGTGTAAAATTACATCTCTATTTATAGTACTCTAAGAAGAACTCTAAACACACTAATTCTAGAGAGTTCTCAACTCTAAGAATTTCAAGAGCATTCTAGAAAATATTAGCCTTAAGAAATATCTAGACACTTCAAACATTACAAAAATTTTCTAGAACTATTAATTAAAATTACCTAAGTTCAAAATAACTAAGCCCAAAAATGCAAATAATATATTTAGGCCCAAATCAAATTTTATCTTTCAACACCTGTATTGGATCCAACGCCACCTCCCAGCTCCAAAATTTTCTCACTGGTCACGCTCCCACCTGAAAATTAAGCACCTGACCACAAAAAATGCAAAAAAATTAAAAAAAAATTAAAAAAAATAAAAAAAATCCATCCCCCACTTCCACTAACTTTGATTGTAAAATCCTCTCTTCTAATGAGTCTCCATGATTAAATTACCGTATTTTGCTTCAAAAATTCCAAGCCTGATCGCATTTGACTCGTGTATCCAAAATCAGAAGAATTGTTATATTTTCTTTATATGTTCTCTCAGATTTTGCCTTCTGTTATACTACACTAAATAAACTTTTTTACAAAATCTAATGCCTTGCCGTTATACTATTACTACATCTGACTAAATTAAATTTTTTAGAAAATCTAAAAAAAAGAGAGTAACATTTTAAAATTAAATTAAGAGATTTAAGTATATATTTTAAAAGACATTTTAAAACAAAGATTATTGCATTCTATTTATATATCCATTATTATACACCCACTTCATATTTATATATCCTTTACATGACTTTAAATATTACACCACACATGAAACAAACAAACTACTCAAACCAAAAGTTTATTCCCCTTATTTATTATTGGATGATATGCGTATATCTATAGATATTAATCATGATAATGATTTAGTGTCCAGTACATCCTCCAGTACCAGGAAGCTTCTCCTTGATTTTCTCCATAATCCCTTTCTTCTCTCCATGATTTTCACGATGCTCCTCTCTTACATACTCTTGACCATTGTTTCCGGTGCCACGACGCTCCTCTCTCACATACTCTTGACCAGTACTTCCATGTTTCTTATCTCCAGGATGAACATGATGCTCCTCTCTCACATACCCTTGACCAGTACTTCCAATGCCGCCACCACTAGCTCCATAACCAGTTGATCCATACCCTGTTCCCTCATTATTGGTTCTTGATTGTTCAGTACCAGGAATTTTCTCCTTAATCTTATCCATAACCCCTTTCTTATCTCCATGATGCTCCTCTCTCACATACTCATTGGTTCCATACCCGGTTCCTGTACCATAACCACTTCCAGTGTTGGTGCTTCCATACTCAGGCTTGGTTCCGTAACCACCCACACCACCTGTATGGGTCCCATACCCTGTGGCTTGGGCAACTCCACGATGTTGTTGACCATGACCATGACCAGTAGCACCGGTAGTTCCAAAATGTTGTCTACCGGCTTCACCAGTTAACCTATCACCGCCACTAATAGGGTTGCCATATTGATCAACTTCGTTCACTGGGTTTCCATATTCATCGGTCTTACGTGTTTGAGTACCGTATTGGTTTGGATAGTGAGACATTTTGAAACTAAAAGATGTAAAGTTTTGGGTTTTTAAGGTTGTTGTTACAACGGAAGACGACTGAGAAAGATGTTATAATGTGGTTTGATTTGTGATTGATGAAATGAAACATACTTTTATAGGCGAATCGAAGCATTGGACTTGAAACGGTGATTATGCTTTTGGAATTTCAATGTCTGACACGTGCTAAGTTGAATTGCCACGTACAGAGACATGTGTCGATGTGTTTATCGAAAACCGAAAGTGAGATTTTGTTGTTTTGTGAATCATGAGATGACACGTGCAGTGTGTATGGGGGATAATTGGAGAGTAAGCTTGGAAAGAGTTGGGAAAAAAGAATTTTTCGGAGGAAGAAGATGAATTTGCTCTTAACGGATACACTTATTCTCGTAATTTAGAGAAGAAAGAAATTTTAAGAATCTCTAACTCATTTAAGTCAATATCAAGGTATTCTTTGTTTCACCTTTAAAAAAATCGATTTTTTTAAAAAATTTTAAAAATAGATTTTATAAAATGGTTTTTTAAAATATTATAAATTTTTTATATTTATTTTTTTAAATTTTTTTCTAAATTAAAAGATTAATGAAGATTAAAATATACTTGAAATCACAATTTTTTTAAGATGTCATATTTTAAAAATGATTTTCATGAAAATCAATTTGAAATAACTTTAAAATTAAATAATTTTTTAAAAATTTTGAGTAGTAAAATGATAAAATATTTAAATAACATTTTAAAAATAATTATTTAAAATAAATTTTTATTTGAAGTTTTTATTAAAAAAAAATTGTAATTTTTTTACACAAATGATACACTATAAAAATTATTTTATAAAAAAAACAAAACAAACAAGCCCTAAATCACGTAATACAATAGGCTATGTTAATATTGAAATTGCTACAAATTTTTAAAACAGTTTTAAATATAATATGTATGAAAATGATAGAAAAATATAGAACTATAATGTTGATAGAAATGATAAAAGAATCTAGAGCTATCATGATACTAATCTATCATAAAAATATCTAGAAAGTACTAAAATAATGTAGAAATATTCACCACCATTGAGTGGTTGGTGACTTGAGCTGATAAATAGACAATTGGTACTTTGTAATTGATCATCCATCAAGAGTAAGGAGAATTTTCAAATTTTCAGTGGAAGAGAGTCCCAAAATTCTCAGAATTTGACTTGTCAAGGTGAGAGCAACTACAACAAAAATGGTGTTCAAGACAACTTTAGATGTGAATGGAAGAGGATTGACAAAAGCTAGGTGTAATATTTTAATTGTCAACGGTTTGGTCATTTTGAAAAAGAGTGCAATGCGAATAAAAAGGAACCTCAAATGGATGAAATAAAGGTTGCAAGACAAGACTTTGATGAGGAGAATACACTCTTGGTCAAGATCACGGAAGGGGAAGGCAGCAGCAACACGTGGCGTGACAGCAACAACAACAGTTTTGGAAATGTTGCACAAGCATGTTGTAACCGGTTATGTAAAAGTTGTAACCAGTTACAGGCAAAAGAACATGTCATGATGAGTAAGAAAGGTTCAGTTCAGTGCAGCGAGGAATGTTATTTGTACTCCAGGTGTTCTATTCATATGACGAAGAGGAAGGATTAGTTTGTTAAAATCAATCGTCTCGTGAAGAACAAAGTGAAGATTGCGAATGACACCACTCTAGTGGGCGATGTGATCGATGATGTTTTGATCATGAGAATGGATGGTGGACATTCCTTGATCAAAGATGTATTTTACATTCCAGAAATCAAATGTAACCTTTTAAGTATTGTACAATTGCTTGAGAATAGTTAAAAGATTCACATGGAAAATAAGGGGGTTGCATACTATTGATGCAAATAGGTTTTGATCGTAAAGCTCCTATGGCTGCCAATAGAACCTTCAAGGTTGAGCTGAAGGTTATGGAGCATAGATGCCCTGTTACAACAGCGAGTCGAGAAGAGTGGATATAGCATTGTCGTCTTGGGCATCTCAATTTTCAATATCTCAAAGACTTGCAAAAAAACAAAATGGTAACGAGGTTGCCATTAATCAACATACCAGTTGAAATTTGTGAAGAATGTGGGCAAGAGAAGAAACATAAGGGTAAATTCAGCAAGAATGCAGGTTGTAGAACCAAGAATCTCCTTGAGGTGGTTGTTAAGTGCAAATTTTGACTTAATTTGGACCATATTTCTTGGCATTTTTCAATTCAATTCTCATGTTTTAATGAATTTTTTCTTGTTCTTGATTGGTTCTTCAACATATTGCAAATACCTTTGGATTCCTTGATGTGTGTGTTATTGTGCAGGATTTAGGCATAAAACATCAATGATTAAGATATAAATGATTGGACAAGGAAGTCAAAGAAGAGAAGAGGAATCAACATGTTCATTGTGCGAATGCTCGTTGTGCGAGGTCCTGCCAAAGCCCCAGCGAACCATCCCAGATTAGAGGCAGTAGGAGAAGGACCCTAAGTTCGTTGGGCGAAACTGTAGCGAAGCAGTTCGTTGTGCGAAGAAGTGCTCACAATGTGAACTCATATATTTTCCAAGGGCGGTTTAACTATTCTTGAGGCACTTGAAGTGCCTAAACGTGGACTTCGCTGGGCGAGGAAGGTGTTCTCTAGGTGAACATGACAGATTTTTGTTTTACTATATATGTATTTTTATTGCTTTTTAGAAACACAACTTTTATATAACATATATTTTGAGATCAGAACTTTATCTCTCTTCATTCCAAACATATTCTAGAGAGAGAAATACAAACCTTAAGAGGGAGAAGCACAAATCGAAGCAACTCGGAGCTTGATCTTTGAGTAAGTGCTTCGATCTCTTGTTGGGTTTTGACGTAGTCTATTGATACCTTATATATTTCATCTAATCTATGTTTTGTGAACTAGTTTTGATTCAATATTGATGTGGTCTTTGATTTCTTATTTGTGGGTATTGACAAAACCTTTTCAAATCTTAGATCTTAGATATTTATCTATCGATGAGAAAATTCTGACATAGTTTTGTAAGTTGATATTCACTTATATCTTCTATTTTATTATGTTGATTAGTAGTATGAGTAGCATGATTATGATCAATACGGTATTGTGAGGATGCGTGATAATAGAGATGAAGAAACTATGTTCACTTACATTTGACAAATTAGTTAAATGCATGTAAAAAGGGTTAAGCGTATGTAGGTATTCTGATCATGGTGTTTTATATGAATCAATCATGGATCTGATATGGATGTTTTTTTATTTACCTATTTATCTTTGATTTAAACCGCTATAGAAATATACTCTTTAGATCTAGATCTAGAATGAATATTTGTTAGGTTCTAGACTCTAGATATAGATTTAGGCTTAACATTTGCTTGAGTATCAGTTCTTAATGCTCTGTGTTATTGAGTTGCGTGAGACATCACTAATGAGACAATACAGTTGTTCTATCAACGTTGCGTTAGACATAACCTCTGTTATGGGTGATACGTGAGGATATCAGACGAATGATTTATTTGTGTTCAACTGGTTAGAAGAATGCATGTGTTATCAATTGATGAGATCCAATCCCAACAAGGCTCCGTTTATATTTTAAGTTTTTTACTTTATATTTTTCATATTTATATTTTCTACTTTAATTTATGGTACCTTTGATCTATCAACAAATTTTCACTACAAGCTTAGAAATGTAAAGACCGTAGAACGTCATTCTTTCCCTCGCACTGATCCATGTGGAGACGATATAAATATCGGAGGAAATCCTTCAAAAACTAAATTTTTGCTTCTTGCCGCTTTACTGCAGTTTGAACAGTGGTGTATTCAGATGTGTGTGGACCGATGCAAATAGATTTCATTGGTGGAAATAGATATTTTGTTACATTCAGCGACGATCATAGTAGAAAGCTATGGACATTCCTAATCAAGAGAAACTATGATGTATTCGAAATGTTTAAGAAGTTCAAGTCCATGGTTGAACGACAAAGCGGTCACAAGCTTAAGGTTCTCAAAAAGGATAGTGGAGGCGAATATGTGTCAAAAGACTTTGAGAGGTTTTGTGATCAATAAGATATTGTGCATAGGGTTATACCACATTATAACTACAATAAAACAATTTTTCTAAAAGGAAGAATTGATTGATCGTGACATGGTAAAAAGGGAAGAAATTTCCAAAAGAGTTATGGGGAGAACGACATCCACAACTACCTATTTGTAGAATAAGCATCCAAAAAAGAAGCTTGAGAAGGTAACATTGGAGGAAGCATGGTTAGGATTCAAACCGAATCTGAACCATTTAAGAGTTTTTAGTTCTGAAGCGTATCGACATGTTGCCTGACAACTTAGAAAGAAGATGGACGATAAGGGAGAGGCTAATAGACTTGTAAGGTATCACTTTCCCGGTGGTTACAAGTTGTATGATGCAACAAACAGAAGGATTATGATCAATTGAGACATCCGTTTTTACGAGATGAAGCAACCACATCAGCCTATAATAAAGGTATAACCAATTACAGTATTCAAAATTCAGTTTCTGCTGAACTTGAGACTACATAAATGCACGTCGTCGAAGCCCGAATTGAAGAGAATGTGAGAAGATCAACAAGGAAAATATATTTTTCCTTAAAAACTCCAAGATTATGAGTTATTTCAAGACAACAAAGTTAATGATGATGGTGATTTTGTCTATTTTTGCACTTATGACCGAATATGAGCTCGTTAAAGTGGAAGAGGCTTTAAGTGATCCAAAACGAATTTGTGATATGAAGGAGGAGCTGGAATCTGTTGAGAAGAACAATACTTGGTAGTTGGTTGATCTAGCGGACGAGAATAAGCCAATTGGTGTGAGATGGGTGTTCAAAGTGAAGGAAAATCCAAAAGGTGAAATAATCAAGCATAAGGCTCGATTAGTTACAGAGGAATTCTTGCAAAGAGATGGCATAGACTTTGAAGAGGTATTCACACTAGTTGCTAGAATTGAAACCATAAGGCTAGTTATTGGTATTGCAAAT